GAAGAGTTTCGATTTCATGACTCCAGCAGATTCCGTAGGCTGGAGATGCAAAACTTCCGTTTTACCACAGTTTTGTGCCAGTTTTGATGTCTTTAGCTGCGGAGTCTTGCCGGAGTCGGGCGGAGTCGGTACACCTGCTGAAACCCCATTTACAATGGGGAAAGGGTTGAAAGAGTTCCAACTTTGCGACTCCAGACGACTCCGCAAGAAACCGCAAGAAGTGCAAGATGATGTCACTGAACTGTTCGATTTGTTTCATGCCCATTTTTGGGGGTGGAAAGGTATATAGAATTTGGACTCCCAAAGGCGGTCCTCCCCAGTTCAGCACGTGGATGTTTGTGTCATCCTTCCTGCCTTTTGTGGTTTCATGTTTTCTGGCGAACTTTTGAAGCAGCTGGGTGCGTTCCGAGCGTCATGTCGCAACCCCAAAAACAGGATTGCCACACGCTCCAACGCGTGGATTTGGCGCGCCCGTTTTTGGTCTCGCCTGCTATTAAATAGAAATTGAAAACAGCCTCGAAATGGCCCTGTCCAAAGCGAAAAGCGGTAGCGCGTGGCAATCCCATTTTTGGCAGTGTGGAACCTTGCGACCTGCTCGAAACACGAAGCTCTTTACATTACGCAAGTAAAGCAAAGTTGGGTTTTGTTCAAGCAGCAAGCTTTCAACGCAACTGGGGAGGACCACTTCTTGGAGTCCAAAAAGCCAATGTGTTTACGGCCCCGAAAATGAGATTGCTGCAGTGACCTTTTTTGCGAAAAATGGCGCAGCTTTACCAAAAAGCAATACTTTTGCAAGTGTAACGGAATGGAAGGATTCCGGGGAACACGGTTGCTGATTGAAGGTCTCTAGCCCCGCCTGCATGTCGCCAGTCTTTGCCAAAGCACCATGTTGTTTGGAATTGTTTGGGTGTTGTTGTCGCAGGCTTTCGCAACATGGCGTGGGTGAGGTGCTGATTCCGCTGCGACAATGCTGGCGGGATGCTTTTTCTGTGTTTGCGTTTGCACTGCTCACCCCCGCGGGCCTGACATCGAGGCGATTTTGGTTTTGTGTCTCTGATGCTTTGTTTGTTGTGGTGCTCCCCCCCCTTCGCTACTTCGCCCCTTAGACTCCTAACGCGGCAACTTTGCGGGTCGGGTTGTGTATGTCGCCCGGAGTTCAGTATCATCCGGTTAAAGAATAATAGTATATATTTAAAACCGGATGAATCCTTTGTTTACATTGGGGGAAGAGTTTCGATTTCATGACTCCAGCAGATTCCGTAAGAAGCCTGGAGATGCAAAACTTCCGTTTTACCACAGTTTTGTGCCAGTTTTGATGTCTTTAGCTGCGGAGTCTTGCCGGAGTCGGGCGGAGTCGGTACACCTGCTGAAACCCCATTTACAATGGGGAAAAGGTTGAAAGAGTTCCCAACTTTGTGACTCCAGACGACTCCGCAAGAAACCGCAACATGCGCAAGATGATGTCACTGAACTGTTCGATTTGTTTGATGCCCATTTTTGGGGTTGGAAAGGTATATTAGAATTTGGGCTCCCAAAGGCGGTTTTCCTCCCAGTTCAGCACGTGGATGTTTGTGTCATCCTTCCTGCCTTTTGTGGTTTCATGTTTTCTGGCGAACTTTTGAAGCAGCTGGGTGCGTTCCGAGCGTCATGTTGCAACCCCAAAAACAGGATTGCCACACGCTCCAACGCGTGGATTTTGCGCGCCCGTTTTTGGTCTCGCCTGCTATTAAAATAGAAATTGAAAACAGCCTCGAAATGGCCCTGTCCAAAGCGAAAAGCGGTAGCGCGTGGCAATCCCATTTTTGGCAGTGTGGAACCTTGCGATCTGCTCGAAACACGAAGCTCTTACATTACGCAAATAAATTAAATAAATGAAAGTTGGGTTTTGTTCAAGCAGCAAGCTTCAACGCAACTGGGGAGGACCACTTTTTGGAGTCCAAAAAGCCAATGGGTTTACGGCCTCGAAAATGAGATAGCTGCAGTGACCTTTTTCGCGAAAAATGGCGCAGCTTTACCAAAAAGCAATACTTTTGCAAGTGTAACGGAATGGCAGGATTCCGGGGAACACGGTTGCTAATTGAAGGTCTCTAGCCCCGCCTGCATGTCGCCAGTCTTTGCCAAAGCACCATGTTGTTTGGAATTGTTTGGGTGTTGTTGTCGCAGGCTTTCGCAACATGGCGTGGGTGAGGTGCTGATTCCGCTGCGACAATGCTGGCGGGATGCTTTTTCTGTGTTTGCGTTTGCACTGCTCAGTTTTGTTTTGGTCTCTTGATGCGTTGTTTGTTTTTGGGCTCCCCCCCTTCGCCCCTTATAGACTCCTAACGCGGCAACTTTGCGGGTCGGGTTGTGTATGTCGCCCGGAGTTCAGTATCATCCGGTTAAAGAATAATAGTATATACTTAAAACCGGATGAATATTGTTTGATTGGGGGGGAAGAGTTTCGATTCATGGACTCAGCAGATTCCGTAAGAAGGCTGGAGATGCAAAACTTCCGTTTACCAACAGTTTGTGCCAGTTTAGTTTTGATTTTGTCTTTAGCTGCGGAGTCTTGCCGGAGTCGGGGCCGGGAGTCGGTTAAACCTGCTGAAAACCCATTTACAATGTGGAAGGGTGAAAGAGTCCAACTTTGCGACTCCAGACGACCAGCAAGGAAACCGCAAGAAGGCAAGTGATGTCACTGAACGTTTCGATTGTTTCATGCCCTTTTTGGGTTGGAAAGGTATATAGAAGGTGGCTCCCAAAGGCGGTCCTCCCCAGTTTCCGCACGTGGATGTTGTGTCATCATTCCTGCCTTTTGTGGTTTTATGTTTTTTCTGGCGAACTTTTGAAGCAGCTGGGTGTGTTCCGAGCGTCATGTCGCAACCCCAAAAACAGGATTGCCACACGCTCCAACGCGTGGATTTTGCGCGCCCGTTTTTGGTCTCGCCTGCTATTAAAATAGAAATTGAAAACAGCCTCGAAATGGCCCTGTCCAAAGCGAAAAGCGGTAGCGCGTGGCAATCCCATTTTTGGCAGTGTGGAACCTTGCGACCTGCTCGAAACACGAAGCTCTTACATTACGCAAATAAATTAAAAAAATGAAAGTTGGGTTTTGTTCAAGCAGCTAGCTTCAACGCAACTGGGGAGGACCACTTTTTGGAGTCCAAAAAGCCAATGGGTTTACGGCCTCGAAAATGAGATTGCTGCAGTGACCTTTTTCGCGAAAAATGGCGCAGCTTTACCAAAAAGCAATACTTTTGCAAGTCCAACGGAATGGCAGGATTCCGGGGAACACGGTTGCTGATTGAAGGTCTCTAGCCCCGCCTGCATGTCGCCAGTCTTTGCCAAAGCACCATGTTGTTTGGAATTGTTTGGGTGTTGTTGTCGCAGGCTTTCGCAACATGGCGTGGGTGAGGTGCTGATTCCGCTGCGACAGTGCTGGCGGGGTGGTTTTTCTGTGTTTGCGTTTGCGCTGCTCAGTTTTGTTTTGGTCTCTTGATGCGTTGTTTGTTTTTGGGCTCCCCCCCTTCGCCCCCCTAGACTCCTAACGCGGCAACTTTGCGGGTCGGGTTATGTATGTCGCCCGGAGTTCAGTATCATCCGGTTAAAGAGTAATAGTATAATATATTTAAAACCGGATGAATCCTTTGTTTACATTGGGGGAAGAGTTTCGATTTCATGACTCCAGCAGATTCCGTAAGAAGGCTAGAGATGCAAAACTTCGGTTTTACCACAGTTTTGTGCCAGTTTTGATGTCTTTAGCTGCGGAGTCTTGCCGGAGTCGGGCGGAGTCGGTACACCTGCTGAAACCCTATTTACAATGGGGAAAGCGTTTGAAAGAGTTCCAACTTTGCGACTCCAGACGACTCCGCAAGAAACCGCAAGATGCACAAGATGATGTCACTGAACTGTTCGATTTGTTTGATGCCCATTTTTGGGGTTGGAAAGGTATATAGAATTTGGACTCCCAAAGGCGGTCCTCCCCAGTT